TTTCTGCAACTGTACAGTCACTATCCAGTAGGAGCCTGCAACACTTACACAATCACATTCCACACAGCATTGCAATTAACCTGCTAACTGCTGCTTTAAAAGTATCATTGAAATTACCCACGCAAATGCCATATGGCCTCCATTTCTGAAAGCCGTTATTGATTCCCTCCTTTGCACTTTGCCTCAGGGACTGATCAGATCTCCTCTCTCTTTTTTTCCTTGTGGGTCCACTGAATGCTCTTCCCCATTTGTAGAGCTCTTGCTTCCATTAGCTAATTTCTGTTTATACGTATGCATCACTTATTCATAACCCTTTGGATCAATCAGAAAATGCATTTCTTGAAACCTGATTCTAGTTTTAACTGGAGGTTGTAGGCTCCCCGCAACTCTGAGGCTGGGTGTGAAGCACATCAGATGGCCACTCTGACCACAGAGTGTTCAGACAGCATTCTGATACTAACCTTCTTGGGGGTGCCTGGCAACTGTGGTGGTGTCAGAATCCCCTCCCAAACCTTTCTCAACAGGGTTCACCAGTCAGTTCAGGTCATTAGACTTGGGCTGTGTGTAGGGTAGTAGGCCAAAATCCTAGGCAGGAGCACAAATAAAGAAGCCTGACCCTTGCTTGAGAATAGTCTTATCTCAGTTGAATCTTTGCACAGTACATCCTCTGCTATGGTTGTCTGAGTAATCCCCAACCATTTAGTCAATTTACTGTCAAGACATGTGAGATAATATAAAAGTCACAATTAAAATTCGATGCACACAGGAAAAATTAATATCATTTCCCAACCATCTACTCCCAATTAAAGACCAGTGTTTTGATGGTAAAATTCTCTCCTTCCCGCCCTCCTGGTTTTGAACTTTTGAAATAATATGCCATAGTAATGGCTTCTCAATGGCCAGTAAGTAGATACAAATTCTAGCTCTGAGTCAGGATTCCAAGAAACTCCAGAATACTGGAAGACCTTGAGGTATCTTCCGGAGAGTTGCCTGCAGGAGCTTCTTGTCACACAGCTCATCTGTGACAATTCAGTCACCACGGGGAAGCAAAAGAGCTGAAAGGTACTCTCTATATTTACTGCCACAGGTTACAAAGCAGCATAGTGGCTGTCAACCAGACCCTCACCCAGCCTGTCCACTCTGCTGATAAGGGCTATCATTTTTCCAATCAATCCTTGCTCTCCAGACTTCCATAAAGGCAGGCTCTTGCCTCATGGCAGAAGCTCTGCAGAGGCAGGCATGGTTTTTAATTTTGATCCTACTGAATAATAAATACCCTTCTTAGATCTTTGTTATTGCCCCCCAGATCAAAAGATAGAGGAGGATTATAAAATAAGGAATGAATGATAGTGGCTAGATGAAATAACTGTGTCGTAATAGGTGATTTTAACTACCTGCACATTGATTGGGTCAATATGTGTTCAAGTCGGGGAAAAGAGATTGAGTTTCTAGACACTCTTAATGACTGTGCTATGGAACAGATGGTCACCGAACCTACCAGGGGAGAGGCGATCCTGGATTTGGTCCTAAGTAACGCCCAAGTCCTGGTGAGAGAGATAAAAGTGATTGGGAACAATGACCATAATGTTATTGAGTTCAAAATTTGTATAAATAGGGAGTTGCCAAAAAAACCCGATACAATTACTTTTAACTTTAAAAGGGGTAACTTCTCTGAAATGAGGGGACATGTGAGGAAGAAACTGATAGGAAAAGTAGAAAGAGACAAAACCATTAGGGAAGCTTGGAGACTATTTAAAGCTACAATCTTTGACGCTCAGAAAAAATATATACCGCAGGTTAGGAAAGGCACAAATAGGTATAGGAAAAAGCCTGCATGGCAAGTAATGGAAGCTGTAGAAGGTAAGAAGGATTCCTTTAAGCGGTGGAAAGCTAGTCTCAGTGAGTTGATAAAAGGGAACACAGGCTGTGGCAAATAATGCAAGTCTGAGATCAGTGTCAGACTTGGGTTCACCTTCTATTATGTTACACCTGTAGTATTACCAACCTGCTTCAATGTAACCCGCATCCCGTTCCCTTCCCCCCCTTGCTTCCCCAACTAAAGCAGATGTATCCAGCCGTATGTTTATCGCTCACCCTTGCTGACATTCCTGGTGGTGTGGAGTGGGGCTTGTGGGAGGGAGGGCGTCTGTGTGAATGTCTGTAGTTTAGGGAGGCAACGCATATAACCGTTTTCTCAAGCAGCACCTCGGGAGCTTCTCATGAGAAGTGTCCTTGAAGATGATAAGACTTTGAATGGCTAGTTGAACCATTGTATTCGTCTGGGTTCTTAGGATTGCTTATACTTGTGACTGTGTGACGTATGACTGGAATGTGGGTTTTGGTTATACACTGGGTCCCCACTTCCCCCCCCCCCTCATTCCTGACAAAGAGTTCACCTTTACAGTATCTCAAATCTCTTCAATAAACTTTCTCTCAAGAAAGCCTGTGTTCGAGAGTGAGTTGACTTAAGCCTGACAGATTGTCAGGAATCTCATCACTCTTACCCGAAACCCCACCATCATTATGGGGAACGGAGATGGAGCCGGCGGAGCCGGGACCAGTACCGGGTCTGAACCTGAGTTGCTGGCCCTGACTTCCATAAGAAGATGGGAAAGTCTACCGGGGTGTTCTTCCAACCCCCCGATCACTGGGATGATCCAGCTTGGTTGGGGGGTACTCCTGGTCTCCATGGTGCTCGAGGGCGCACCAAATGGGAACGACAGAGGGTATCCCGTACGTTCCAGGATGATCCCAATCTAGGATGGATGAGAGAAGAGTGGGAGGACAAGGCGGCTGCAGAGAGGAGCCAGTCCAGCCTACACTCAGATCTGAAGGAGCTGAAGGAAGGTTGCCAATACCTGGTAAAGAACCTCCCCAAGCTGGTGAAATAATTGATTGAGAAGGACGTCACCGTCACCTTGGAGGAGGAAGGTGAGAAAGAGGAGGAAGCTGAGTCCCTTCCCCGGCCTGCCCCACGTAAGCCCAGCATGGAGCGAGAATGGCCTCGGGATGCACTGGAAGCTACCTACGTTGTAATTCAGCAGATTTGTAGAAGTGTGAAACTGTTTTCAACTACTGAAGCCCCCCACCCCAGTGCAAAAGACACTGAAAATTTTTGCAGCATTTTCATAGGGTTATGATTGTCTAGCTTCTTTACCTGCAGTTCTGTTTGTTTGTTTTTTTGAACTGATAATGCTGGAAGGTGATGAAAATTTTTCATTTGCCTCTTGCAACAGTGTCATATGAATGGAGAAGGAAGACTGAGAATGATGAGGCATTCTAAGTGGGCCAATAGCACAACACTTTTGAATATGTGCACAGCTCTGAAGATACTGTCCTAGCAATGTTTTTGTTGCCTTTCTTATTTCTGAAAGCATGTGTTATTGTACAAAAGCTCTAATAGTGTGAATGTTGCAGTCTAATTGTGGTGGAAGCCTGAAATCCCACTAGTCCAGTGTAAGGGAGTCAGAGGGGTAGTTTTGTTCTTGTTGATGGATCTCAGCACTCTGAGATTGGTTGGCATTGAGGCTAATGAACTTACATTAGAAGCATGACCCAGTGTTCCGGGAAACAGAGTAATACATATTGGCTGGCTTCCATTTTGTAGGATATGCCCAAGTGGTTTTTTTTAAAAAAACCCCAAAACAACAAAATTCGGTGGCCCCTGTAACATCATGGGATGTGTCCTCAAGGAATGTATTTGGGATATTGGATTAATTCAGGAAGTGCAGCTGATCCTCACAGCCCTGAAAGCCTCTGTAGATCTGCACACTTAACTGTGCTTGGAAACCAGAGCCGGTCCTACAGTTCGCATGGCTGGTTTCCCAGTGTGGTGCGGAAAGTTCACAGGGAACTAGAACTGCTTTATGAAGTTAGAGTGCTACATTATTTAACCCCAGACCTGAATGTCTTCCAGTTGGATGTGTTCATGAGCAGGGTGCTGGTATTTTCTGACCTGAAAGCTGGAATACTTAAAAGTCTTTATCTGTCTGGGCATTAAGGGCGGTGCAGAAGAGACACTTCCTGAAGTTACTGTAGCCCTTTACAAGTGATTGATGTGCAGGGCGCTTCTATGCAGCTGCTGTTCTGAAGCAAAACCTGCTCTGGGAGGTGGCGACCTAGAGCTGAGGAGCAGCGTGGAGAAGGCCACTGACTCTGCCAGCCCTGCTTCTGCCGTCAGGCCACTTTCCTCCCTTGGGTGTCTCATTACTGTATAACTATTAAGCTCATTTTCTTATAACCTGATCCAGTTTAGGATAGTGTATTTAATTCAGTGTTTACTTTTTATTCTCTCCCATTGTTTGAGTTCAGGTTGCTGAGGGAAAAGCAGAAGGATGGGCCCTGGTGCAGGCAGAGTGTGGGATACTTCTCTGTCCCTTTCCCTTTCCCTGCAACAAACTTGTATCCACATTCCTGAATGTACATATCATCAGCTGGTGTCCCTCAGAGATCAGGGAAGGGTACCCGTGTGGTATTCCTTGCCAGTATGGCTTGCTTGACCAAATGTATTTCAGACGTTTTTCTGCTCCATTAACGTCTTTCCAAAAGATAGTAAAATGTATGTGTTTGGTAGCAGTTGGGGTGATCATTTAGCAGATTTGTGAGTTTATGAAGAGGGATGAATAAATTCGTGCTGTTTGCATTCCCACAGCAACTTAGTGTAGAGAAATGGAAGACAGCATATCCCTGATGATTTTTTGCTGAGACCCAGTATGTTATCTGATTTCTCACTGTTCCGTTATGCTATACTTGATAACTTGTGTGAATTGGCTCCAGAGAAAAGAGTTGTTCTTGAGGAGCTGTGGGTGTTTTCTGTGTACCTTTTGGTCTGTGGTGGCCCATCCACACCTGCAAGTTGTAACTTGATGATGGAGACGTTGATGATCGTGCACGTGTTTAAAATGGGTGCCCTTCTTGAAGGTAGGAGAGGGTGCTTTTGCTGCTAGTAGGTGACCACTAGGAAGCATCCATGGGGGAGAAGATGCTCACTTAATGCGTATATGCAGAATATATGCTTAGGATCCTGCTGTGAATGGTTGCAGGGAACTCGTGTGTGGCTACAGGAGAAGGACCGGCTGCAGCCCTGCACTGTTGAATCCTGCGCTGACGGGTTGGTGCTGTTCACTTCAGACTATGGTGAGGTGAGTGAAATGGAAGACTGTGATTTTTATGGGCCTCTGAAGATAGCACTCCTGGGTAATTCTCCTGTGCATTTGTGCTAAATAAAAAACATAACATGCTGCATTGCCAAAGACTGCCAAGTGTTAAATATCGCAGTTCCTTTTATTCCTTTGTGTTATATTTTTTCTTAAGACTTTGTCCTCTGTAAGCGTTGCATATTGTTTCTCTATGTTGTGATGCTGAATAAAGCAATAGAGTACCTAAATGCTAGGGGAAAACAGCTGTGAGCCCAAATAGGTTATCTGAAGGAGAAACATACAAGCAATTCACAATGTAATATTTCTGAAACTAGCAAATTCTGAAATCGATGATAATCCCAGTAGTGATGTAGTGAATTTGTTCCTTTCCACCACTCCTAAGCAAATCCTTCCTCTGATTTATGAAGGAAGGTGTGCTTTCTCCTTAGACCAATATTTAAAACAGTGCAAGAACAGTATAAAACACACAACTAAGACTGAGTAAAACTTGATTACTAAATTAGAGAACAATGTACTAAAACAGTGTAATACTTGGAAACAATGCAATAGAACTCGGTTTCAAAACTGTGGAACAAAGCAGTGAAAACTGGGTAAAATCTCTCAGACATTTATTTCAACCTCATTCCATAGTACAAAAATACCCTCCTGAACAATTCTGCTTAACGTATGCTGCAGAATTCGTGACAGTGAGCATAGAGCCAAAGTACAGACGGTGGGGCTTTGTATCCAGATACCCCTGAGTGGCTTCTGAGGACCTCTTCAAACGTGTTACATTTTTAGGCGTTCACCTACAAGTGCAAAGAGTGAATGTGGCATTTTGCACATATCTGCAAACATGTAGATGTGTCAGACAGCCATAATTGGCTGCAAATCCCCACTGCATATTTGCTGAGTAGCCAACTTTGGGTTGCTTCTACATAATGGGTGAAATGGCTCAGAGTATTCCTGTGTTTTCCCATCCTGCTTATTTTAAAAAATGTGTCTTGCTTCTCAGGAGCAGAGAAGAGTCAACTAGAGCTGCCAGGACCTTTAGCCCACACTGTCTTTTAGTCTGGCATTTCTCTCTGCCGTATTTTCCTTCCCTGTAGAGATTTTGCTACCCGTGGGCCTCTCTGCCCAGGGAGAAGATTCTGCCAATGCACCAGTCCAGTGTGGAGGGAGTGGAGGACATGTCCATGCTGGGGGACTTGCACGAGGCGGCCATCTTGCTCAATCTGCACCAGCGCTACCAGCAGGACCAGATTTATGTGAGTGACCTATACTTTGCCGGGCCACCGACAGCAACCATTGTGCCTGAGAATAGTTCACCCCGTCTCTGGGTTCACCTGCACAGCCCTGTCCCTGTCTTCACCACAGAATTGGGGAGTCTAGACTGTGGATATGTAGACTTCTTAGCTATGGAATTAATAGGAGCACCATCTTACTTAACTTAATGTCCCCTGTAGTTCCTGAGCTACCTTATTAACATTTGGACCACTGGATTTGGACCCCCCACCCCCTGGATTTTGGTGATAGACAGCTTCTGAGCATAGGGCACAACTCTGCTTCCAGATGTATGTATATCTGTGAATGTCTTCCACAGATAAGAAGCTAGTAGTGTCTGCTACATATAAACCCTGTGAAGCTGCCTTAGAGTGAATCAGACCAGGGCTATTTTTGGGCAGGAACGCACAGGAACGGAGTTCCGGCGGGCTCCCAAGTTGGCCACGCCCAGCAGGAACTCATTAGCATAATAGGCCACACCCAACAGCAGAAACTCATTAGGATTGGCTACATTAGGGGTGTGTGGCCTAACATGCAAAGGAGTTCCTGCTACAAAAAAAGGCCCTGGCTTTTGACAACAAACAAGGTGAACAGAATAAGAAGCAAAAGGTGGGTGTGGCTGGGTAACCACACTTCTGGTAACATGTGGGTGCGGCCTAATGTGCTAATGAGCTGTGCTGTCAGGGGTGTGGCCCAATAGGCTAATGAGTTCCTGCTGTTGGGTGTGGCCTATTATGCTAATAAGTTCCTGCTGGGCTTTTTCTACAAAAAGAGCCCTGAATCAGACTATTGATCTGTCAGGGTCAATATAGTCTAGTATGATGGATAGAGGCTCTCCAGGGTCCCAGACAGAGGTCTTTCTCATCACCTAATGCCTGAGCACTTTAATAGGACACACCAGGGATTGAAGCTAGAACCTTCTGTATGCAAAGCAGATGCTGTGTCACTGAGTCATAGAGTGTTTGGGCCATGACTCTTCCTGTAAGATAACTCCAGGTGTTTCTTGGAAGGGTTTTTTTCTTAGCAGAAAGGTGTTATGCACACAAGAGATAGTAAGTAATCTAGTTTTCGATTCCATGATTATTTAGTGGATTGTTTGAGGAAAGGAACATTAGGGGACTCAGTATTATTTATGTTTTTGCAAGGTTACCTTGGTGTGTGAGAGGGGTCATGAGATGTGCTTCCTCACCTGTGCTCAAGTATGTTCAATTTCTGATACTGAAATGTAGATCTCAGACTGTGTTGCATAGCAACAGTTACTAAGGCAACAGCGCTGTATGCATCTTGTATTCCAGTAAATGATCAATTAAGTGACCTGGTTTCTGGGAACCATCTTTTCCATTTTGGGCAGGCAAGGACGTTACGAAGTCTGTGTTGCATAGTAATGAATCCTGCTGTCTTAGTGACAACATGCTTCCTTGTCCGCCCTTTTCTGACTCTTTTCTTCACAATCCAGACCTGTTTCATTCTTGCCCATCTCATTGAACTGTCTACCCTCGTTTCCTATGCTTGCTTTCTCCCCTCACTCTTTTTTCTCCCATAGGGGAAAGCAAATAAGAATACTTTGCATTTACATAATGTTTATTTGAGTGTTTTCAGGGTGCTTTTCATGCATTGGCTCCATGTAATACTAGATTTGATGATAGACAGGGAGCTTCTAGCCCTCCCTTGCTTATCACATCAGATGCAAACACGGTGACCTGACATCATCATGTGGGTGTCTCGCTATTGCTCTTGTAATCTCATTTCACATGGTATTATAGAAATTGCAAGGAAGACAAAGTACAAAGCAGCAGCAGCAGCTCCATATCCCTCAGAGTATCTTGTCCGGCCCTTGGTAATCTTGACATCAGTCCTCCTGCCAGATAATTCAGTAGTATCCCCGTGTAGCACATGGCAGGCAGAAAGGTTTGGACAGAATGGACAGAAGGACAAATGCCCGGAGAGAGCCACCTTTAGAATTCCAGAAGGTGCATAAAGATTTAAAGTGAAATTCCCAGCAAATTTTGGCTTAAGGCCTGTTTGTCAGAGTATTTAGCAAGTTTCAACAAAAATTACAAAAAAAAAATCAGTTTAGTTTTTTTATAATTTCTTTCCCCCAAGGAAGCCCTAGGTTTGTAATGTGTTGGGACATGGTCTTTCATGATGATTCTCCATGTGCCACTTGGAATTTGTGGAGCCCTCCTGTTCTAAGGTGCTGAAGTGTGAAAATTCAGGGTCATCCATTGTAGAATCCCTTCCCAACTTCAGATGCATAATCATTAGGTGAACATGAGGCATAAAAGTGTTACCTTTTTGTAAGGAGATTTACCTGGCAACTGAGAGGACAGGGGATACCAGGAACGACTGATGACTCCAAGTGCTGATGTACGCAGCAGCCATGCCCAGTATAATATTACTTCTAGCTGTTATTGCCAGACACGGACCTGCTTGGCCCAGGCTAGCCTGATCTCATCAGATCTTGGAAGTGAAGCCACCAAGGAAGCCCAGGGCTGCTGCATAGAGGCAGGCCATGGCAAACCACCTTTGCTCATCTCTTGCCTTGAAACGACCCATGAGGGGCCGGTCGCCATAAGTCGGCTGTGACTTGACAGTGTTTTTCCACTGCCAACTATTGCCAGAGCTCAGAAGATCCTTGGTGTGGGGGCTTGCTGAGTCTATATGCTGTTGGCCTGTTCCTTCAGCAGGCCAAAATGCAAATGTGGAATCATGTAGAGGAAAAATGGAAAGAAGGGTAATAGGAGGTAGCCCGCCTAAGGAGCTTTTTGCCCAGTCTCCAGGCATTTGATGGGGATGAGGCCTTCCCTCTACATGAAGGCATGGGGGATGAACACATCCTAAGAAATCCTGAGAGATCTCCCCTTTCCACTTACGCACCACGTCTGATGTCCCATCTGCACTTGTGGCAGTCTCTGCCTTTGATAAAGGACACGAGGTCCTAAAATCAGTGAAGGATAATTTCTACTCCTATTTGGTAAGCCATCAAGTGAAAATGCACCAAGCTGCTTCTCTCAAATGTGTCTGGCTTTGTTTTTAAATGGATAACAAATTCTCTACCCTCAAAAATCCCCTAGGGAGATTCTTCAAAAATTTTATTCTTTGGGCTGTTAGAAAAATGGTACTGATTCTTGCGTTTTCTTAATGAGTTGCTTATATAATCATTTATTCTTGAACTCATGATATCCTTTACCCTAAACAGCATATCTCCCTTTTACTTTAATAGCTTCATCTCTCCATATACTTTTAGAGAGCTGTAAAGACCCCTTAGCTTCCCCCCCCCTTTTTTTTTTTGGCAGAGCTCTGATGGCTCCGTGTTGTAACTCAAGATCAGGCAGCTCTTTTCTTAACCAGTGATTTCAGTTTATTAGAACAGAACACAACAACAACAGAACACACAGAACAACCCTAATTTATATATGGTTTGGAACTGGCTAAACCACACCCCTAGAACAGTAAGGTCCAATCCTAAGTGAGTGCTGAGGGCCAATAGGGTTTGTTCCCGCCGAAAGTCATAGTCTTCCCTGATATATATATATATTAAATAAATTTCATTAAGTAATAAAACATTAATACAGCAAAATGCAACACTTACAAAGAGAAGGGTAAGCAAAACAAACAGTTTTGAAATGATATTGGAACACTTAATATAACAAACAACATCATATTAACAAACTTACAGCTCAAAACTGGGTTTTTTATTACTGTACCCGTAGTTACAACAACAAAAACTTAAATTACCAACCCCTTACTTTGTTCTCTTCCATTAATCATTAAAACATATATAATGACTTGACATCAATCCATGGATTACATGGCATATGCGTTATAAACCTGTTTTGTTTATCAAATAAAATATTCCAGTTATCCATTGAACTATAGGAAACCTCTGTTGAACCTCACCAGGCTAACCATTCCGAAATCTTATCATCAACAAAGTAATCCCAAAGTTTAGTGTACCATTGGCTTATAGTAGGGATAGCTTGATATTTCCAGTGCCTCGCAATCAGATTTCGAATGCCTCACAATCATACACTTGGCTACAGTAAGTAATACCGAGATCAGCTCCTTTACCGATTTTCGAATAGGAATATCGGGCCACAGATTCAAAAGAATAAAAGCAGGGTCCTTGGGGAGTTTACATGTCACCAGAGTTTTGATTTCTGCTAAAACTGCATCCCAAAAACCTGCAATGTTTGGGCAATGTTTAGGCTCATTCTATATTTCAGGCTATCCATATAACACAATACATAACACTCAGGCCTTTTAACTTCTTCTTAAGATATGCTTTCCATTTAAAACCATTGATTCTTGTCCCATGAATGATGAATCCTTTCCATCTTCTGTGTAATAGCCTTTGGTGTACCACTAGATATTTCTGCTCTTCATCAGAAGGATATCAAGGAGTCTAAGGTATTTCTTTTTTTTCTTTTTTTTGGTAAACAAATTTTATTTTCTCAGGAATACAACATATAAAACATTTCATTCTATCAATTGTCTACCCCATTCCCAGTTCCTCCCCTCCCTCCAATGGCTTCCCACAATGCTTCCACCCCTGCTCCAAATTACTTCATATCATCAACAATATCAGTTTTTCATCATTACAATCTAAAGATAACATCGTTTGACTTAATATTGATCTAAACATATTAAGTTTTGTTTCACATCCCAGTTCTTTTCCAGATAAATTTTAAAATCATTCCATTCTCCAAAAAACTCATCGTCTTCTTTGTTATTCAGTTTTTTTGTAATCTTATCCATTTGTGCCATGAACAGAACTTTTTGTATCCATTCTTCAACCTCTGGTACCTTTTCCGTCTTCCAAAACTGAGCATAAATCATTCTCGCTGTCACTATCAGGTACCAGAGTAAAGTTTTTTTAGTCGTATTGACTTCTTCCATTTTGAGTCCCAAAAGCAGAATTTCCGGTGCTTTTTTAAAAGAACATTTCAGTATTTTTTGCATTTCATTGTGGACTTTTGTCCAA